TGAGCGCGACACTCGATGTAAGTCTAACTCTTTCTTTGTGTTTGTGGTTGTCTTATGGTAAGAGTTGTCTGACCAAACGAAGAATGCAGACTTGCTCGCTAAATGGCTCAATAATGCCAAATTTTACATTTCTAACTACAGGGCTGTTCCTGTAGAAGAGCACCTTGTCTTTGAAAATGCTGTATATCCGGCTTCTAGTTCGAACAGGTTCTACAAGACAGCTTCGCAACTAAACTCTCAGAACTCAGGCAACTCGACGCAGACACTTCCGGGTCCTCATAGGCGAATACAGACCTCACAGCATAAAGAGCTTAGCAATCCCTTGATAAACTCGGTCGTTGCTTTAGCCAATGAAACCGCCAGAAGTGGCTACGGTGTGCTAGTATTTTGCAGCAGTAAGTTGGTCCGTTTGTCTCCTCTGCCGTATCGTAATACTAAGTCTACCAAATAACAGGTCGACTGGGTTGTGAAAGGGATGCACTTCTGATCAGCCAAGTGCTTCCTTCAATGGATGCTATTGACCCGCTCTTGATGAACAGACGACGCGATCTTCTAAATGACTTAAGAGACACAAGTAGCGGTCTTGATCAAGTGCTTGAAAAGACAGTCTTAATGGGCGTGGCCTTTCATCGTATGTATTTTCCATCCTCCAATCTTTAAATTTCTCTGACGCCCACCCTCAGATGCTGGTCTGACTACAGAGGAACGCGACTTGGTCGCAGCTGCCTACGATGAAGGCGTATTGAAAGTCATGGTAGCGACCTGCAGTCTTGCGGCCGGCATCAATCTTCCCGCCCGTGAGTTATCTTTCGGTCCCAAGAAGCTTCTGATAATTTCAATACAATCATTCAGTATTTGTTGACCCGAACGTACTACGGAGACTGACAATTCAATAGGGCGGGTTATATTGCATGGCGCTAGAATGGGATCTGATCTAGTCGGCCCTTCAATGCTGTGAGTACCTTACTTGTCACAATTGACTATAAATGCTAATCATTATAGTCGACAGATGAGAGGTAGAGCTGGACGCAAAGGGAAGGATGAAATTGGCGAAACATATCTCTGTTGTCAAAAGTCTGACCTCGAGGCCGTCGCGGAGCTCATGGAAGCCGAAATACCTTCAGTTGAGAGCTGCCTGGTGCCAGGCAAGCGAGGTATAAAACGGTAAAAACCCTCCTATAAATCCTCATTAGGTATTAGAACTAATAGGTAGACAGAGCCTTACTTGAAGTAATAACTACAAAGTTGGCTACAAGCAGCGAATCGATCGACGACTATGTGAAAAAAACTCTCCTCTGTCATACGATTGATCAGAAAGAATTAAAATCAATGGTTGAAATAACCCTCAAAGATTTACTCGAAAGTAAACTCGTAGAACAGACAAAAACCTATTCATTCGAAGCTACACGTCTGGGTCAAGCTGTTGTGGCTTCTTCTCTCGCTCCCGAGGATGGCTTGTTCGTTCATAAAGAATTACGAAGATCTCTGGAAGCCTTTGTACTAGATGGCGAAATGCATGTGCTTTACACCTTCACGCCCGTTCAGACTACGCAGGGCAATATCAACTGGCAAATCTTCCGTAAGGAAGTTGATATGCTTGACGAGAGTAATTTGAGAGTTCTTGGTTTCGTTGGACTTAAGCCGTCATTGATTAATAAAATGTAAGTTCATTGACTGCTATAAGTTTATCTATTGCTCAACATTTGACTTCTGTCAGGGCACAAGGGGGATCGATGAGAGAGTCCACTTCAGAAGAAATCGAGATCGCCAGGGTATACAAGAGATTCTATACCGCTTTACAACTACGAGATCTTTGTAATGAAATGCCAGTTCATGCCGTTGCTCGCAAATACGACTTACCACGAGGAATCATACAGAATTTGGCGCAAACGTGTCATGGCTTTGCTGCAGGAATGATAAAGTTCTGTGAGAAGATGGATTGGGGAGCACTAGCTGCGGTGCTTGATCACTTCTCCGATCGTCTAAAAGCTGGTATGTTCTTCATTTTGTCACAATAACTGTGTAGACAATTCAGATTTTTTTTTCAAAAAAAAATGGGTTTCCGAATGTTCTTACTCGCTTACCTAACAAGCAATAGGCGCCAAGTCCGACCTACTCGCTCTAGCAGAAATTACATTCATCAAAAGTCGAACAGCAAGGATCTTCTGGGACAACGGCTATAAAACAGTTGGGGCGGTTGCAGGTGCAGACTCGAAGGAACTAATACCAGTACTTTTGATGGCCCAGCCGAAAAAGTTGCGGCTGGCGTCCGATGATGAGGAAAAGTACCATGCCAAACTTCTTGCGAAAGCGACAAAGATTGTTGAGTCAGCGAATCGAATATGGGAACGGCAGATGCAGCAGGAGATCTATGAAGAAGATTAATACAAGTGACTATAAAAGATTTGTTGGGGTGCTCAAGGAGATTTACACCATACATAGGTACATAGAGCGAGTCCATAGGTGAGATGAACATATTAAATCTGTCAATTTGAGTCAATTTCCAGAGCTGAAAGTCTAGCGAGAGATAGATTCAAGGGCATCATGTAACACAAGACTCCTACGATCCGAGAGCCTAAAATTATAACGTATAATTCTGCATAGCTATTCATCGATGTTAATAAGCAAATGGTTTATATAAACCTGTATCTGAGCCGGAAACATGTTCATAGTGTATAGACTTTTCGTAACAATCTCAGCACAATAATGCGCGCGCGGGTTCCATAAAATTTCCAAGGGCTTTGCATGTATCATATGTCACGATATGCAGCTCTATTCAGTAGGGAGGTCCGTCCATTCTCTGACGTCTTGAAAGTCCATAATTTCATTTGGTCCCCCAAATCTTCCTTGTAAATCCTTCCAATTCCTATTCACTGCCGTTTCAGGTCGCCATCGGAAGGCGTGCTTCAGCTTTGGATCTAGTACCCCTTCCATCAAATCGGCAACGAATCCTCCAACTGAAGTAATGTGCATAAAGCCGTGCCCGCTTCCGCCAACCGCCAGAGTTAGCGAAGCGTATCCCGGAGGAATATCGATGAGAAATGCCCGGTCAGGGGTATCAGCGCACCAACATATTCGAGCAAAGGATAACGGACGATCTGCGAGATGAGGCATGGTTTCTAGCAGAAATTGTCGAATTCTCTTGGACGAATCTATAGGGATCTGTTGTTTTGAAAATGGAATGCTCCTGGTTTTGCCATCTGGGCCTGTGATCTGAAACATAGTTCGTCAGCCCTTACTACCATGTTGAATTTAGGGGTGTTGCTTTTAGCTGAAACTTTTCAAGACTAGGAGAAAGGTCGAAGACCAAGCTCGCATATCTCCAATGTGCAATACTCTTCAAAACGCCATGTGCAATACTTTTTGAAACGCCGATTCAAATCTGAGGATTTGGTTTCTTCAACCCTCATATGGAGGTGCAAAAATCAAAAACCCTTCTAGGCTTCCTTTCTGGTGTTCTGAACTTTTCTCCCCATAGCAAGACTAGGCAATAAATGGACTTACCCAGTTGCAATAGCCAGGATGCTCATCACATATCTTGAGCTCGTGATTGTCCTCGTCCGGTTCCATGAAAAATCCTTTCTCTATATTGAAGAGAACTGGCAGGTTTTTGTACAATTTTGTTTCATCCTCCAACATCTTGATATGTCCTAGAGTCCAGGCTGTTGGCCGAAGCTGATCTTTGAAGTCGAAAAGCGCATCGGCTCCAGCTCCAGCAGCAAGTATTGTCCTATCACCCCGATGTTCCTTTCCATCAGCAGTCTTAACGCCCAGTACATCTCCGTCTTCATAAATGAGACTGGTGACGGCACCTTCAGGTGAACCGGTAATGAACTTCACCCCAAGCCTATCAGCCTCTTTCGCTGCACTTTCCAGTGCTTTACGAGCATGTACCCAGCCGGCACCTGAAGACTTGAACACACCTTTCCAGCCGGGAAAGTCGCCTGTCAACACCCCGGGAGGCATCGTCTTTCTGAAGTCCTCCGCAGTCTTTAGTCTTACAAACCCAGACTTTGAATCGGGCAGCTCTCGCTTTTCAACCTGCTCCAATGCAGCTGGCGTGTCTGCAGCAACAATATACCCAGTAGGATGGTAGTAAGGTTTGAATACTGAATCATTTAACCAGCCTTCCGTCGCTTTGTTGAGTAGAATCATAGAAACATCATCTTCGCCCTCTGTGAAAGAGCCTATGTATGTCAGTGAATTGCCTATGCATTCGTGAAATCCCGTTGCCGTAGTCACCTTGTTCTACAATCTTATTGACATCATTCCCAGCGGATATTGGGGATGGTATTGGATATGCATCGAGTATTGTAACATCTACATAACCTCGACGAGCTAAGTGGAGAGCTGTAGATACAGCCCAAGTCCCACCTCCCACAATGAGGATTCGAGATGATTTGGTAAGTTCGGTCGGCATGATTAGAATTTGGAAATATTTGACCAGGTTACATTTTCTTCGATTAGGTGTTTGGGTATGCCATTATATATATATATATATATATATATATATATCTACGTTGATACTCTCATGAAAATATATTGAATAGAGATGATAGGTAGGTTAAACACAACTGCATGCCACTTCGCTTGGACCTTCCCACCCACTTTCGATCTATCTAACTGTACCCCACCTCGCCCACTCCAAACATAATCTTACAAATAGTCTGAGTAACGGTATCTGTTCCGGTGTGTCTACCCAGTGCCCCGTATCGATAATTTCCAATTTCTCACAATGGCTTGATCGATTGATCTTCTGGCTTTGGTTAAAATCCACTGTACGTGTAATAGTAAATCGTGCCGTCTCCGCTCGACGATCACCGCCAGAGATTCAACAACTTTCTATATCTATGTTGGTACAAGGACGAATTGTTCGCAGCCTTACACCAATAATGCTCGGCGAAACTTATCAGCCGCTATCTCACTATCACATTTTCGAAGCTTCTTCTCCACTTCCTTCACTTCCTTCGTCTCCTTCAATCCGATGCTCGATGTAAACCATGCCACGACGTAAATCTCCTGACACGGGTAAATGCAAGGCCTCTCGTACCAGAAGCCTGGGTGGATGCAACACCTGCCGAAGAAGGAAAGTTAAATGCGGAGAAGAAAGGCCCAGATGTCAACGATGTGCTAGTACTGGATATGATTGCAAATACAACCTTGTCTTGAAATGGCAGGAAGAATTTGCCAGAAGAGGTGCAGCCTTTGGTCGATCCGGCGTATGGAAGAAAATTGACCACCGAGGATCGACTTCGGATGTTCATCAATCGCCTTCTTACGATCTCTCGTCTGAAATGGTTACACAGTGCTATATCCCGAACATATCACATCATCATTTTGTAAACGGGACTGTCGAGAACTTTCACAGTATGCTGTCATGTGATCAAGACGACCAAGCCGGAATTGAACGTGAGCTAATGGATACTGCCGTCGAAATCACCAGTCTTACTTCTCCTAGGTTGAAGTATATTCCAGCCCCTACAGCAACACCTTCTAGATACCTTGTCCCATTTCCTATCATCTCATCGTTTTCCCACGTGGATGACGTAAATACAACTCTTCTGTTTCAATATTATGTAGACCGTCTATGTCCGCTGACAACTCCCAATCAGTCCACAAACTCACCATTCGCAACAATAGTTCTCCCTTTTGCATTGAGTACATCGCAATCTACCCTGCAATCTCTTTTGGCACTTTCGGCGTGTCACAAGAGTAAAACAGATGCATCCTGGGGGCCGGTTGCCATGTAGCTTAAGGCGCGGACTCTTCATTTCTTGCGAGGGAGACTCGATCAGGAAGACTCCGTAGAGATATCAAGAGACCCCGAAATTATCACTATAAGTATGATCATGTGCTTGTATGAAATCATCAATACATGTGATGAACAGTGGGTAGTTTACCTTCGAGGCGCGCGCGACATTATCCGGATCCGAAAACAATTCACATTACTGGCCACTGAAAAAAGCCAATGGCAGCCCCTCCTTTCATTTTCAGAACGGTTCTTTGCATACCAGGATGTACTGGGACGAACAGCATGTGCCGGTGTACCAAATTTCAAGAGTTGCGCTTGGACGTCTAAAGCTCACGAAATCGATATATCGATGGGCTGTTCCCCAGAACTCTTCCATATATTAGGTTCAATCACAGATCTGATAAAAATGAAACGTAAAGATCCTATGTGTGCTTCCGAGGAGCTATTTATCAACAAAGCCGCAGGTCTGGAGCAACGACTCGATGGTCTCGTCCAGACCGTACATCAGGATGACGCTTGTGTAATTTTGCACTCGGCAGAACTGAAACGACAGGCGGCTATCTTATATCTTCACTGCACTCTGTACGATGTATCGCCTAGCACAGTTTCGGTTGTCAGGCGAATCCCTGATATTCTCCAAAACATTTCCCTGTGCCTAGACAGTGGCCTTGTAACAAGTTTGACATGGCCTGTTTTCGTCGCAGCGGTGGAACTCAATCCACTAGATGACATAATCACTGTTAACAATAGATCTGTGTCTGGGAGAGCATTCATTCTCAGTACATTGGCAGTAATGTCAACTTGTACCATTGCGAACCTCGAGAGGACTAGATCAGTCATTGTTGATGTTTGGCAACGCAGAGATTTGTCTGTATCAGCAAACACGATGCAAAGTATTACAAGCGACTGGGAGAAGTATGTTGAGCCTGCCAGTATAAATTTAAGTCTTGGGTAATGGAAGACGCTATACTTAGTCAAGTCCTCTCATTGAGAGATTGTTTTTAAAGTTCCTTCCCGTTCGGCAGAGCTCTGATGGGCAAGACACGCAGTGACTTCGAGCTGGCCACAACAGAATACATAGTAATTGTGACTGGCATATCGGAAAAGGCGTTGAAAACACTCATCGCTAATCTACTTCAATTCGAAGAAGAACAACAACCCAATGATTTCCGCGCTTGAAATAAACAATACAACACAAATCGTCTAGCTATGTCTGGCTGACTATTCTCTAATCAGATTGAGATTACAAAGAGTAAAATGGAGTGTCTTTTATGCATAAAGAAAAGTATTCAATGTGGGAGCTATTCCGGGATTCCTATTCCCAGACTCGAGTCGAACAATTCTCTTATCGTGGTCTCAGGAAGACGGATCAATCATACAGTCTTATCAATTGGGGCAACGTTGGAACGGATCTAAGCTATCCCCACCTTGGATAGCTAAGGGAAGTCTGAAGCAAGCCCCCACTTTTTACATCAAGGTCAGATGTGGAGTAAAGCTCGCTTCTCGCCTGTACCTTCATGATGTAGCCAAGCTAAATGATCAGCTATTCAATTAGTATTCTATGATCGATTATTGGGATACATGAGATATGCCTAATTCGAAAATATGCAAGTGACGGACGACAGATACATATATAAAGATGCCCTCTTTTGTCAACAATGTACTCTGTAAACAGATCTACACTCAACATACAGTGTAGGCAATAGTATACTATAGTAAAACGGTGGTGTGTATAAAACTTTTAATACAATAATTAATATATATTAGATAATTGAAAACTTATTGTTATAGGTATTACTCAAAACTAATATTTACAAAAATATACAGGAAAATTAAAATATAAAATAAAAAAATAATACTAATTCTAATAAAACCTAAATACTTAAAAAATATAATACAAATATCAAAATGAATATTATAATCTTTTCTAGTATAATTTTATTAACTTTTTAATATTTTAAATAGCTTTAATCTTTTATAAAAAATTTAATTAAACTTTTTATTCTTTTTAATATATATTTATTCTCTTTTCTAATACATATAATAATTAACTAAATATATAATAGCTTATTAAAACTTTCTTTTTCATTTCAATTAATCAATTAATTTAATAAATTCTTTTTATAATTCTATAATATCAAAAAGATTAAAATATTTAATAATATTAATAAAATCTAAGAATAATCTTAAATTCGCATATTTCGGCTTGTTCCATACCAATCAAAAATTCATATTTCTATATCTTATTAGTAATATTCAATATTAAAATAATATTGAATATTTTTAGTGATATTGAATTTCATACCACATATATACATATTTAGAAGAAAAATTGATATGTATTACTATCTAGTCTGTATACGGATTACGGAAAATACTATTGCCTACACTGCCAACATGTCTCAAGTTGTAATCGAAGATGTTCCAGGTACCGAATATCTTATCGACGGTAATCACCTCACCACCTCATTATCTTTCCAATGGCTCACTGAATATATAGTTGAACACTCAGTGGATCATTCTCACTCAGGAGGGATTTCATCGAACATTGTTAAAATTCCTCGGCCCACGATCTGTGGTGGAGATCCCCTGGTATGAAATTTTGCTGAAATAGGACTCTCATTGCTTTACTGACACTAATCAAGCTTTGACCGCGATGGAAGAAATACTACCAATTGTTCCTTGTTGCGTAGGTTTCTTACTTGCCTAGAGATTCGGGGGCCGAACTATATTCAACTGACTTATGGTCAGACTGTATGCTTGTGCATTCAGTTTCGGAGAAAACACCCTTGGAGGTACATAAAGAAAGTGTTGATCATTGGGCCTACATGCACTGACATGAAATACCAGCTGCTTGGGAGACCATATCCAAGGATACGAATGTTAGCCTCACCAACATGAATGGCGGTTCAGCTCTCAACTACTTACTACTGGTTAGTTGTGTAATCAAAATTATCATTTGGCTCTCTTTCTAAAACAATTCATAGGGCTTCTGTAACATATTTTGGATACCTGCAGCTAAAAGACTTGGTAACAGGTTTGTGTTTCTAGCTACGACCCTAATTTGCATGTGTGCCGGTATTTAGCTAGGCAAATTCCAAGGTACTGGAGAGTGAATGGGTGCCATGATCTTGAATGGCTTGGGTACATCAGCATATCGGGCTGTAATTCAATTAACCATATTTAACATGTTTTTTGTTCATGAACGTGGCAGAATGCTTGCAGTTTATCTGTTCGGGCAACAACTTGGGTCCATGTAGGTTTCGTCGATATCATAAAATTGACGAGGATTAAAGCTCACCGTTCCATAGTCTTGGTCTCATCTCTGGAGGTTCCATCGCCGATGGCCCTGGATGGAGATGGAGTCAGTACATTGTGGGTATCATCGATGGCGTTGTAATTTTGCTCCTATTTTTTTCCTTCGAAGAGACGACTTTCCGCGCTTTCTATTCTTCTCCACAGGCACGGATCGAGATCAAACTATTGTGCAAACGGCTTCTGGCACGGGTAAGGAAATTTGAAGATGTCAAATACGAGGCTATCGCACAGTTCCATTTCGGCAGAATTACTGTCTTTGTTGTTTCCAAGAAGAACCTACCTACAAACCCTCACGCTATGGGTATACCAGTCAGATGATACGACAATATACTGGGACTACTTCAAACGTCCCTTCTTCCTGTGGTCTTTTCCTACAGCTGTCATTCCGGGGTTCATCTTCGCTTTTGGATGCACAGCTGGTATAGTATCCTTCAATACTGTATCAGAGATCTTTTCCTCTGATCTATATGACCACTTATCTACGATCGTTGGCCTTACTTGTTTCGCAACTCTCATCGGATCTACTATCGGTTACTTCACTGGAGTGTTATCTGATCATATTGTTATTTTCCTTGCCCGCCGTGACAAAGGAGTCAAAGAGCCTGAAATGCGTCTCTGGACCCTTACCGCAAGTTTCGCATATGCGACTGTTGGGTATATGCTCTATGGCTGGGGTGCTCAGACTCAGGCAAGCTGGGTGGCAGTTTCGATTGGCTTGGGAGCTCTAATTGCTCAGCAAGTGAGCGCCTGCAAAATCGCCACCGCATATGCAATGGAATGTTTCCCCGGTCTTGCCGGTGAGCTGGTAGTTATACTAGCAATGTGCAGCTCCATAGTCAATTTTACAATTTCATACAGTGTACAGCCCTTTATCAATGCTGCAGGATACGGCTGGACATTTTGCTTTTTTGGAATATGCGTTCTAGCTAGTATATCTGGTGGAGTGCTGCTTATGACCAACGGAAAGAATTGGAGAAGGAAATGTGCTCCAAGATATCGTCGATATATGAATGAGACAGCCATATCGGTCTCTTTAATCGAATGTACACAGAATAAAATTTATCGGCGTGCAGTTTTCTCATCTACCAGAATATTCCTTTTAAGAGCGAGGCAGCCCCTTGAGCGACTAGTTTGTGAACGATCTGGCTAGGATGATAGTCATTCCACCATAAACAGCTAACGCCGTCCGCATTTATACAGGTGGCATCGGCCGAGCCATATGCTGTAGGGTTGTTGATTGCGTTTAAGAAAGGAACTTGGGTATCATATACCCAAGTGTTAGATCCAGCATTTGCAGCTTTGAACGCTGCTACGCGTGAAACTAAAGCCGCATTGTATTGAGATATAGCGGTCGCTATAGAAGCTTGCACAGCTGTCCCTTCAGCTATGAAAAGAGGGCTATCTTGGGTTGCTTTGTGTATCATTAGTTTTTGATAATTATCTTTTCAATCCCAATCAAGAAGGGGACTCACGTGGAACGGTTAAAAATAGAAAGTTTCGGCCTCCCACATTGTAGAGTCGCTGGATCTCTGTAAAGTAGGAATCCATGATCTGACCGAGTACCGTTGTATAATTTGAAAGATACCACGCGTTTCCAACATCATTAACACCTATCCAAATGCCAAAAAGCGTGTTGCCAGAGGACCAAGGCCCGGATGGAATGTATTGAACAAACTGATCTACTTGATCAATGAAGGATAGTACGGTGGGTGCAAATGGTGCAACAAGCGATGCGTTAGTAGTTGCGCCTCCCGAAGCAAAGTTATATGATAACATGAGCGTATTATTATAAGTTTCAACAAGATACCCGATCTACATGGTTTGCATCAGCGAATGAGTGTTTTCAAGCTTTTTAGGTTACATACCCAATTGAACCCGCCAGTGGTCGTGTAACCTTGAAGGTTGGGATTCCCAAGGGGGTTGCCAGCAGCTGGTTGGGTCAGAGTCGGATCAAAGCCTGTTTGGGAGTATGAGTCGCCACTGACTTTAGAGTTAGTCGGATTCGAATTCAGATGGATAAATGATTGTAATATTACGTACAAAGTTATGAAATACTCCACGGCTGCAGTCGATACGGGGCCTAAGCGATTCTTTTATAAGCTTATGAAGGGGGTATATAACTGGAACGACACATAGATGACAGGTTCTTACTTTTTGTAGTAGATGCCAAGGTTGAAGACACTTTTGTTGTCAATGTTGTAGACGTTTTCGAGGTTATTGGAGCACTCGTTGTTGTCTTCGAGCTTGAGGTACTGCTAACTGCTCCCGGAACACACTGACCTAGAGAAAGCAATAAGCACGCTGTAATGCAATATGGTCCAGGAAAACACTACTATAGTATGCATTCTGGTAAACACAAGTGCTTCCTACAGCACAAGTTGTCGCACCCGTCCAGCTCAGACCTCCGCATTGACCATATGCGACCTGCTGAGCGGCCGCTGTTGCCACACATAGGAGTAGAGGAAGAATCATTTGTGCAATCAGATTGGAAACTATAGCATCAAATCATGGACACAAAGCATATGAATACACAGAAATCTCGAAGAGAGCACTCGTGTTTATAGATATTCTTCATCAATATGCTTAGGAATAAGGATACGTGTCTTTATCAAGAATAATTATTTTTCCCACCAGTACCATAAAATCAATTCCACACAAACCGGATGAATTATTTTGATCTGAGTTACGACTTGATGTGATGATGAGTTCCGTCCAATGGGGGACATCAGAAAGTCGGCTATGAGGGGCGAGAGCCGTCGACACCGGATTCTCGGTCCGGTTACTATAATAAGATTCGTTAACTTTCATATACACTAAGATGAAGGAAAAGTTTAACCTTTAAACCAAGAGTCTCTACAATAGTCCCGGGGGGAAATTCATGTGGAATCGTTTTCTCCTTGATTACTATAATAATCTTGAAATACTAGAATTCGCAGTCTTTATTCTATTCTCTAAACGAATATTACTATTAAATATATCATGTAATAAAGCTCGAATACTATTACATTTATAACATAATATGACTTTACCTCAATACTTATATCATAGACAAGCTTATCTCTCTTATACCTCTTAAAAACTAATTATAATAATAAAAATTTATTATATCTTAATTATATTATTAATATTCTCATTATTAAAATATGTTATATTTTCAGACTATTTAAATCAATCTGAATTTGGGTTTTTATTATTTTTAGATTATCGTATTTAATTGTAGACTGTACTTCTCGATTATAAAGTATAGATCTATAATTTAAATGAAAAGACTCAAATGAACTTTAATAGTATGTGAGTAATACTTTGGATTTTTGAATAATACGAAAGGAATTCAAATTATTATAAAGTTTTAGAAAAAGATAGATAGTCTATTTTTTTAATAGGTTTTTTACTCAATTGATACCCAAGAGAATACATGAGAGAAACTCATATTCTAAGAATTTAATTATAAATATAAAGTGCGAAAAACCTCAAAGATTTATAAAAGATTAATACTTCTTAGAAGGGATATAGTATTAATTTTTTGATATTTAAAGAGTAGATTTAAGATGGTATTATAATTATATTAAATCGAATATTATATTGTTTTTATTATTTAGAATCTAAAAAATAATTCTCTTATTATTAAGATTAATGTTTTTAGATTTAATAAATTAGAATCTAAATAGTATAAGAATATAGACTTTAGTTTTGAGAGTTTAATTTTTATTATTGGAATTATAGATTTTTGATTTTTGATTTTTCAAATTCTGATTCTTCTAATTCTAATCCTTATGAATGAACTTTTTTTAATCTTTAAAAGATTAGAAGAAATAATAAGATTATATATATTCTTAGTAATTGTATATGAGCTTTTTTTGAAACTAAGTATATTTCTTTTAATTATATAATCCTAAAGATATTAGTAGTAGTAGTAGTAGTATTTATTAATGTTTATTAAGCTGGTATAAGACCGATCCTGGAAACCTTTTGAGGAATATAAGGATATACTAAGCTATAGATTTATTTAATGTTTTAGAAAGCAATTTATATATATAGAGATCAGGGTTTATTTGAATAATTCCTTTTTTATTAATTGAAATAGGGCTAATAGTATTTTCAAGATTCCAAAAAGCTAGATATAGTTTTTAGAAAGTATAAATATGAAGCTATAAGGGTGTGTATTTATATAAGATGTTAATAGTATTGAAAAAAATCCTTATTATATTTCTAATTGTTATTTAATTAAATAAAGAAAAAGCAAAATCTATTTCAAAGAAAGAAAGGAAAAGAAAAGAAAAGAGAGAGAGAAGGAGGGTGGATATCTTTAATGAGGATAGATATTAGTATAAAATCAAATGATTTTGAAGAATTCGGTTAATATTAATAATTATAACATTAAAAATAAGAGATAATTAAAGCTTTTTATTATTAATAAAAATAAAAATAAAAATAATTATTTAAACTATTTTCTAAATTGAATTAATGATTTATAATATAATATTAAATATTTAGAAGTTTTTTAATAATTATAAAAATGTTTTAAATTAATATTTTAATATTAGAACTTTTTATAGTATTATGTAAAATCTTTATATTTTGTATATATAATTAGAATACAATATAATATTTTTTTAATAGATTTAATTTTGAAGGAAGTTTAATTGTATAGGTAAGATTTTATTTATTATATATATTTGAAAGAGTAGGTTGTTATTTTGTTTATTAGGATTGTTTTATTTCATTATAGAGTTTTCTAATAATAGTTTTTATTTTATTGATAGTAGGTATTAAGGTAGGTTTTAGATTTCAAATGGGTTTATAAGCTTTAAGATTGATGAGTTTATTAGTAATCTTATTTCTCTCAATATTTATATATTTAAAGAATTAATAAATCCTAATATTAAAAATCTGTATAGCATTTTGACAAATATAGAAGGCTTATTAGGAGGAGTTGGATATATTATTATATAGGTATTAGATTATTGATGTATTATTAATATAGAATTATAGATATTATTTGTTAAATAAGAAAATCCTTAAAACATATTTAAAGCTTACATAAATTCTAATTATCTTTAAATCGAAGATATGCGAGATATTATTAATCGAGTTCAAATTAATAATAATTTGCTTTTTATTTTGGTATATTGTATATTTATATCTAATAAACCTTTCTTTATTAATAATTTATTCAAAATTATCTAAAAAGATTGAAATCTTATTGAAAGGGAGATAAAACTATTATTCCTTAAAGCTAATAATTATGATTTTTTTATTAATACTTTTTATTAGATTTATTTAATATTTTAAAAAGAAGTATAGAAACTATAATGTAGAGTGTGTAATGTTAAAAAGAATTATCTCTAAATATTATATCTTGATTTTAAATTTCTATTTTTAATTAATATCTTTATTCCTAATGATAAATGGGGGTGTAATTTGGTGAATTATATGGTGAGAGGTATTTATTAATTGAATATATATAATAAAACGAAGTATAGCTTTATTTAATATTGTATTAATAAATGAGATATTTATATCTTTAAAAAAAGTAATTGTTAAAATAATCTTTTAAATAGGAAGTATACTTTTAAGTGTTAGAGTAAGTATTTATTTCAATAAATCGATATATTAATTTATTTAGAAGGAGATGGTAAGGTTGTGAATAATATATTGAATATAGGATGATTTTGTTTTATTATTAAATTATGTCTTGATTTTATATATAAGAAAGGGAATAATGCAGGTAATGATAGTTTTATATAAAGCTGAAATTGAAGAATTATCGATTATTTTTATAAGATTGTAAATGTAATATGTTATTATTCGAGTTTTGGTAGTTCTTATAGTAATGTATCTTTTGAAAAAGAGTTTTCTATTAAATCAGATTTCAAATTATTTTAGAATAAATTATATTTCATTTTTGATTATAATAATCAATATA